CGGGGCGCCAAAACTAATAGTGACTGACAGAAGGCGTATGTTCCAAAATGCAGAATTTCTTAACTGGGTTGAAACTATGGGCTGTAATAATCACTTTATAACGCCCGAGATGCACCGATCAAATGGCCAAGTGGAGCGTTATTGCAGAATGGTGTTAAATATGGTCCGTGTTGAAACCAATTATAGACAAAATGCATGGCCAAGTGTAATGTGGAAAGTTCAATTGGTGTTGAACATCACTAAACAACGAACCACGCAATACTCTGCCCTTAACTTACTGATTGGAATTGAGGCAGCCATGCCCCTCATAAGAAGCTTAATACGCGATGTGGCTCTTGAGGGCAGCAATCCTAATAGAGAAACCCTGCGTGAAATGAGTAGGCACAGAGCATCTGAAAGACTTCAGCGGAACCAGCATGAACAAGATGCTTATGTAAATCTGGGGAGGCAGCCTTCCCGGGCTTTTAAACTAAACGAACGAAGTTGGACTCTTGTATGCGTGGCCCCTATCGCATCGTAAGTTGGACGCTACCACAAGGGCGCTACGAACTTCGACTCCTGACCGGCTCCTACGGGAAGTCGACTCAAGCGGCGGCGGAGTACATGATACCTTGGCATGGAGAGTGGACTCCTGATGTATGTGCTGCTTATTTCAGTGGTGAGTGCTTTGGGCCCTTGTTTGTTATGTTATGATGAAGCTTCATATGTGTTATTCTTGTGTGTGGTCAGGACAAGCTTCACGTGTTGCCTCTATCCTGACCTGATATTAAGTTATGCTTCACGTCGTGCCTCTAACTTAATAAATGCTAAGATAAGCTTCATGTAGTGCCTCTTTCTTAGCTGCAATCATCTGCACACTAAATTATTGGAGATACGCTTCACGTCATGCCTCTTTCTCAGTAATTTAGTGCGCGCTATTTATTTTGGATTTTAGTTGTGAGTCACGTAGACTCAGGTGGTATTTGTTGAATGTTTTGTGCAGATTCAGACCACGAAAACGAGGAGTCAACTCTCGCCTCTGCCGGGGTTCTCTCGCCAGCCAGCCAGCCTGCCTCCGAGCCACAGCCTAGTACATCTGGGGTGCAGCAGCCGAGGAGTGCTGCTGTTGATGCATCAGAGCTTCACGTCGAGCCTGTGACGTCATCACTTCACGTCGAGCCTGAGACGTCATCACTTCACGTCGAGCCTGAGATGTTGCCGCCCCACGTTCCTATGCCAGCAGGACCAGGACTTTCCATGCCTCTGCTGGAATGAATAAAAGATGAAAGGAGCCCGGGACGGTCTCCTGTCAGGAGAGGCCATATTGGAGGAGAAGATATGAAGACAAATCTGCTCCTATAAAAGGCAGCGCCACCCAGCAACATGCCCATTTGGCCCGCGAGCCGTCGACGCGTACACATCGTGTTGATAGTGATTAATTGCGTGACCGACATTTTTCGTTTTATTTTTAAATTTGCATTTAATTATTAGAAAATAGTCTATGCCCAGTTTTGTTTTGAAATTATTTGATTAAGTTTGTTTGTGATAATTGTTTTTTCTTTAAAAATTAAATCGTTATTTCATTTACAAAAATATATATAATCATAATCTCGGAAACGGCTCTCGGAAACGATTTTCATAAAATTTAATGTCCAGGGGGTTTCGGGGCAATACATCGATCTAGCTAGGATTCATTTTTAAAAAATGTCCTTTTGTCCGTGTTTTCAGGCAATGAAAAACTGCTACAATATAAGAAGGTAAATTTTGACTGCAGGTTAATGATCGTAATAGCTCAAGTGGGATATCGGACGGTTGCGAAATCGGAGCGCACTGGTTCGCGTCCTGTCTCTGGTCCGACTTTTTCCCTTTTTTTCAAGTTCCCTTCTTTTGTGAGAAAATCTATTATTTCGAGCCTTTTTTAATATTTTTTTTAAAAATACGAAAATTTAAATTAAACTAATTGCACTGATGATTTTTTATTCAAATAACCATTTCAGTTTTTTTTCTATTATGTCAATAAGATCAAAAAATATTATTCATGTTATATCAGTATGAAATTTGTATCTAAATATAATTTCCAAAAAAAAAAAAAATACCGAGAAAAGCTCGGTCATCCATGTACTATTTCTTTAATAGAACATTTAAACTTTGACTTGAACTTGAAATGACAAATTTTGTACATTATCTGGGATTTTGTTGTCTGCCAGCCAATGGCCCATAAATAATTACTAATTCTGTGGAGTCAAGTTATGTTTGTTCATAGTGTTTAAAGTATGAAATCTTTATTCTTATGAAAGCTATTTATATACATACATTACATTTTCATAAATAATTTTTTTGTTTATAGGAGGGGGCAAACAAGCATACGGTCGACCTGATGTTAAGTGACTACTGCAGCCCATGACCAACCGCAATATCAGGGAAATTGCAGGTGCGTTGCCGGCCCTTTAGAAACAAGTAAGGTCTTCTCTTGAAGGTCCCCAGATCATATCGGTCCGGAAAAATCGCCGGTGGTAAATTATTCCACAGAGAGGTTGTACGCGCAAGAAAACTCCTTGTGAAACGTACAGTGGTGGACCGCCAGGCATCCAGATGGTGTGGATGATATTGGGACGTTTGCCGCGTAGTGCGTTCACGAAATTTGGCGGCTGGGATTAATCCGAACAATTCCTCAGAGCACTCCCCATGGTATATGCGAAAGAAAATGCAAAGAGATGCAACATCTCTTCGCAGCGCCAGTGAATCGAGCCGATCGGAAAGCACTCGGTCGTCGACGATTCGAGCCGCTTTGCGCTGGATGCGGTCAAGTGGAAGGAGCTGGTACTGGGGAGCCCCAGCCCAGAGATGGGAACAGTATTCCATGTGCGGCCGAACCTGCGCCTTGTAAAGTTGCAGGCACTGTGCCGGCATGAAATACTGTTTCCACTCTGCTGAGCACGCCAAGCTTTTTAGAGGCCAATTTGGCTTTTTCTTCCAAGTGACCACGAAACTGCACGTCACTCGGATATGTCGACGATGAGGATTCCGATACTGTCTGAGGCAACAAGGGGAGTGCCTTGAAACTGAGGAGATACGACAAAGGGGTTCTTTTTAGCGGTTAACGCGCAAACTTATGTCTTCTGAGGGTTAAACTCCCCCTTTTGTCCGGTTTTCCGAAGGCCGGTGTACAGAGCATCACCAGTGCTGTCATCTGCATAGCAATGAATGTTCCATGTTTGCAACATATCATTGATATGCAGAAGAAACAGCGTTGGTGATAGCACGCAGCATTGTGAAACACCAGTATTAATAGGCTTGTTAATCGGAGCTTGCACCGTCTACAACGACCTTGATGCTCCGATCTGCTAGAAAGCTAGAAAGTGATCAAATTGCGCAATTTCTCGGGAAGCCCATAGGAGGGGAACTTCGAAAGAAGCGCTTTGTGTCAAAGCCGATCGAAGGCCTTCGCAATGTCCAAACCAACGGCCAATGCCTCCCCCTTGGACTCTACTGCCGCCGCCCATCTATGAGTCAGGTAGACTAGAAGATCACCAGCTGATCGACCACGACTAAAACCGTGTTGGCGATCACTAATCAGCTGGTGATCCTCGAGGTACCTCATGAGCTGGCAGTTTACAATGGACTCCATTGTTTTGGAGAACAAGGAGGTGACGGCGATGGGCCTGTAGTTGGACGGGTCTCAGCGGTCGCCTTTTTTAGGGAACGGGTGGCCGTCTTCCACGATTTTGGGACTACGCCTAGAGAGTAGGAGTATCGGAAAAGACGCGTTAAGATCGGTGCCAACTCTGGAGTACACGTGTTCAGGACAATTGGGGGATACCGTCAGGCCCACTCGACTTGTGGATGTCCAGGAAGTGCTTTGCGAACCGAGCGCTGTGTAAGCCGCAACTCCGGCATGGAGCACTCACACCGCGGGATGGTCGGCGGCATACTCCCCTCGTCATCGAGAGTCGAGTTGGACGCAAAGAAAGAGCCTAGTAGATCGGCTTTCTCCTTTGCGGCATGGGCCAACGAGTCGTCCTCCCTGTGCAGAGATGGAAGAGATGGCTGACAGAAATTCCTCTGGACATCCTTGGTGAAAGACCAGAATGCACGGGTTTCAGAAGGCAGGCGAACTAGTTTCTCAATCTGCTATGTGCTCTGACTTTGCCTTGGCAATGACCCTTTTGAATGACCTGGACCTTATTTATATAAATTTGCAACCTTCCCAAAAACGGTTTAAAATAAATACTAAAATTTGTAATTCTGATGGAGCATTTAGACTATTTGTCTAAATGTGACTGTCTCAAAAATAATCTTTTTTTTTAACTAAGTATATCCAGTATTATAGAATACAAATGAACATGAAGTCCACCAGACATAAGTTAATGCTGTGTCCCATAGACACATTTATCCTCGATTAAGAATTAAAATGAGCATTTATATTAGAATAGAGCCGTGGTAGCTCAGTGGTTAACGCTCGCTGTAAATATAACAGAACGCGAGTAACCCGGGTTCGATCCCCGCCGGCACCAATGAAATTGTTAATTGCAATTTTAAGTCCTGATTTACCACGTGCTCGGCGGTGAAGGAAAACATCGTGAGGAAACCTGCATGTCTGAGGAATAAGAAAAAAATATTTCGAAGACATGTGAAGTTCGTCAACACGCATTTGGGCAGCGCGGCGGACACTTCCTTGCCCTAAACCCTCTCAGAAATGAGGGGGAGGCCTGAGCCCAGCAGTGGGACGTATATAGGCTGTAACTTTACTTTACTTTTAAGAATTAAAATGTAGATGCATTGTCACCCCTGAAGACTAAGATAGAATGCCTTGTTTCTAAAAAAGTAACTCCGGTTCTCTGAGCTCATAGGAAGCACAGCAGCATTAAGCTGCTATTTTACACTAATATTTTATGAGAGTGTGATCTTTCCCAGGTCGTGCAGACCCATTTGTCCTGCCATCGTAATATAAGCTGCCGCGTGACTCAACCACATATTGAAAATTAGTACATTATTACCATGTTAAATATTAGTATATTTACCCTTCCATCAGCAGTTCCATCAACTTCGAAGTTAGCCAAGAACCTGTTCATGACCTTTTCAGCTGTTTCCTCTCCACTCATGTACCTGGAAAAAAAGGTTCATTACCTTTAAAAATAGTACAATTTTATATTACCAAAATACCCTCTATTTTAAATTCAGTTCAAATGCGTTAAAACTACAATTTAGTTGTAATTATTCGCAAGTTCTAACAAACCATTTCTGTAGCGAAGTCAATAAACTAATCATTAAAGCAAATGTAATATGAATGATATAACTTTAAATAAAAATCATATGATTTGTGAAAAATCGCGCGTTGCATGTATTGGCTATCATAAAAGTAAAATGATACTAATTAATAATTGGCTAAAAATAAATAAACAGATGTCCATGGAGAGTTTGATGATATATCTTTCACCATAGTACTTTTTTTAACTTTCTAGATGGCCAACGGCCCAGATATTATTATGTTACATTGGTAGTATTTTGTGATTTCCAAGTTGATATTCTCTTTCGATTAAGTTCCAAATGTCCTGCAGTATAACTAGTATTTTATAATTTACACACAAACAAAACTGACAGACCATTGCTGAGTCTAAATGCCTTAATGATTTCTTATATTTACGCGAACACTACACATTGAAATAATACTAGTTTTTACGGAATTTATCGCGTATATTTAACTTTTTAATTACCCGACGTTTCGAGAGCTTTACAGCACCCATGGTCCCGGGAAGGACTGAGATGTTCAACGTCCAGCTGTCATAGTTAACCGCGGTTACCATAGATTAAAATTTAACTTTTGTTCCGATCTACACAGTATGAACTTATGGTATCATGGAGTCTTGCAGTTGTATGCTTGGGTTGGGATTTAATTTTATTTATTATAGGATCCCAAGCAGATGGTAGCACCCAGCCATCTTCTCTATTGAAATTAGGATGTTTTTTGATTTCAATAGCCTCGCGAATCATCCTTGGAAGGAATCGGTGTTCTTTAGCGAGGATTTGTGGTCTATCAAATCTGATGTAGTGACGGGGGTCGATCCTGTACATGTTCACAGACTGCAGACTTCCCGGAGCGTCGATTCTTCACATCAGCTATATGTTCTTTGACGCGGGTTTTAATTGATCTTTTAGTTTGTCCTATGTAGGAGAGACCACATTCACAATCAAGCTTGTACACTCCTGTATCTTGCAGAGGGACGTTACACTTGACTGATGGTAAAAACTGACCAATCTTCTTCGGCGGCTTGAAGTATGTTTTGATGGAAGCGCGCTCCAAGATGTAGCCAATCTTGTCAGTGACTCCTCTAACATATGGCAGTACAGCAGGTACACGCTCGACTGTGGCCGGCTTCACTCGTTCTCTGTGACGTAGGCGCGGGTTTTTTTCTATACACACCTTGAGCCATACTGTGTATAGAAAAAAGACCCATACAGATAGATATTTAAACGGTGATTCTCACCACCATCCTTCACAGTTAGCTACCGTGGGTAAATCTTTGTTTCAGAGAGCACGAGGGATCTGTGACAGTAAACACCTGGCTGCCGAGCTCCAACATGTCAAGCAAGTTTTGCATGACAACAAGCTTCGGGTCCCGCGCCTACGTCACAGAGAACGAGTGAAGCCGGCCACAGTCGAGCGTGTACCTGCTGTACTGCCATATGTTAGAGGAGTCACTGACAAGATTGGCTACATCTTGAAGCGCGCTTCCATCAAAACATACTTCAAGCCGCCGAAGAAGATTGGTCAGTTTTTACCATCAGTCAAGTGTAACGTCCCTCTGCAAGATGCAGGAGTGTACAAGCTTGATTGTGAATGTGGTCTCTCCTACATAGGACAAACTAAAAGATCAATTAAAACCCGCGTCAAAGAACATATAGCTGATGTGAAGAATCGACGCTCCGGGAAGTCTGCAGTCTGTGAACATGTACAGGATCGCCCCCGTCACTACATCAGATTTGATAGACCACAAATCCTCGCTAAAGAACACCGATTCCTTCCAAGGATGATTCGCGAGGCTATTGAAATCAAAAAACATCCTAATTTCAATAGAGAAGATGGCTGGGTGCTACCATCTGCTTGGGATCCTATAATAAATAAAATTAAATCCCAACCCAAGCATACAACTGCAAGACTCCATGATACCATAAGTTCATACTGTGTAGATCGGAACAAAAGTTAAATTTTAATCTATGGTAACCGCGGTTAACTATGACAGCTGGACGTTGAACATCTCAGTCCTTCCCGTGACCATGGGTGCTGTAAAGCTCTCGAAACGTCGGGTAATTAAAAAGTTAAATATACGCGATAAATTCCGTAAAAACTAGTATTATTTCAATATTCTAAATGCCTTTTTTGAAGTAAAAACTTCTTAAGAATCGTCGTGATTTGATACTCATGATACTATAAGCGACACTAAAAAGAGACAAAGGATACATCTATAGAATTTGATATGCGAGAGAATGAGATAGAATACCCTAATAAAGTGTTTCCTATTATGTTCTGAAGTTTCTCATCTTGCGCCTGTGAACAGATGATCAGTGGATAATATGCATGGGATCACAGTAGAAATGGGGATGAAAGCAGACTGTTTGTATGAGCTATATCATCATCATCATTACAACTCATCAAAGTCCACTGCAAACATAGGCCTTCCAAAGATTACCTCATATGGGCCACACTTACCATAGTTGCCACTCTTGGCAGGCAGGCTGGCAATGGCAGTTTTTTACGGGTTGCTGCCCATTTCTTGATTAGGTTCCCTCTGTCGCCTCTTACGACACCCGAGTACGAGTTCTTATTTAACAATGCCCAAACTGTTTTGTTTTGTTATCCATTATCCATCCACTACAGCCTATAAAAGTCCACTGCTTAACATAGACAGAGGCCTCCTCCTTACGAGGCAATCTATGGTAAAGTCCATAGATTGCCCCATAAGGAGGATTTTGCCAGAGTTGCCATGCTTGGCAGGCGGATTGGCAACCGCAGCTTTTTATTTTGAGTTTTTATCACGAAGATCTCATGTTTCGGTTTCCATCTGTCGCCGCTTACGTAACGCACGGACCGGGTTTTGTTATATATTAATTATAAAAAATAAATCAACATTAGTTCTTACAATGGATGAGAGTTAACGGAGTAAACGGAGCGAATATCATCAATAGTAATGATACCATCGCCGGTTTTGTCAAACTTCTTAAAAACTTTCTCCACAATATCGCGCCGTGAGTCTGACATTGGTGGCTGAAAACAAACCAAAAATTAAATTGAGATACCTTTTAACTTTACATGTAGAGTGCTAGCTATGTTGCAAGGTGTTACGGTTGCAGAATAAATGGGTTGGCTCAACTGGTGAAGAACCACACTTGTATTGTGCGGCACATTAAGCAGCAAAGTACTAGTGTAGATGGTGAGTGATGAAAACTAGAAACCTTTCATAATTGGTAGAGGCATTCTATTTTAACATGACATGTCTTCAGGGGTGACAACACATCCGCATCTTGATTAATTGAGGAAAGATGCATGTGTCTATAGCTCATAGCATTCACTTACCATCAGGTGATCTGTGTTAGTTTATCATTGTCACCCTAACTTCTATAAAAAAAATATTTACTTATTTATTATTCAGTCTGGCTATACTAATTGCACGATTAACACAAATAAATTTTAAATGTGACATTGATAAAATAAAAGATTCTCGTAAAATGCTTACACGGATTTGTTTGATGAGCTCATCCATAGTAATGAATCCACTTTTGTCTTTGTCGAATCTATCGAATGTTTCTTCAGCTTCCTGAAAAGTGCAATAAATTGAAATAGCTTACCCATTCATTAATTATATCATAGGAAATCTATCCAATGTTGCTATGGTAACTATATAAAAGAGAATAGAAAGATTTTTGCTTGGTAAATTCGTTTTCCTATTCAACCAAAAGGCTCATTATAATTACAGGCTGTATTTCCATATTTTCTAGGAGTTGGATACAGGTGTTTGTCTTGCAATGGCCACTTACCATAAAGTGGATGTTTGTTTTTATCACTCAGTTGTTACAAAAAATTTTAAGCTCTTATGATACAGCCTATTAAATATTTACTTAACGATTTTCATAATATAATGAAATAGCATCAGCATATTACAGAAAAAAAAAACTACAAATGAGGAGGTACTTTTCAAAACTTGACTATTCCATTTTCGCCCAAAGTAATTTTTTTTAATTTTTTTTAGGTTGGTTACATTGAAATGTATATGCATCGAAAACAAAATCCTTACAAAACGTGATAGATCAACTAGAAAAATATATTTAAAAACGCATGATTTCGTCAAAAGTAGATTATTCCTAAAAAAAAGAAGGTTAAAAATAAGGATTTAAGAAATTGCAACAAAATATGATTAATCCAGAAGATATTTTTTTTATCACTGGAAATTGTAACAAAACATGTTTTTTCCTCATATTTTTAAGGTAGTTGTTTTTATGTTCCAAATATTTTTGTCTGTCGCGGTCAGTTGCAGTTTATAAAACTTTTATGCGTTGCGAATTGTGTTTTCGACACTTCGAGGATCAAAATAATTTTGAGAAATGCAGTCTCAAACAACAGTACAAGATATAAATACAGGTTCAAGAAGTAGAAAGCGCGGACGACAAAATCGAAAGAAGTAAGTTTTTGTGTCTTAAACCTAGCTACAAATCCATTGTCTTAAAACTTCTGCGTTTATGAGTTAATTCAATGTAATTTTTTATTAACGTGGTCTATATTTTTGCTTCAGGGACTATTCGGACTGTGACCCATGTGCACTTGCATTTGAAAAGCCTTGTAATCATAGCGAAAACAGCAAATTTCATTGCAACAAATTCGTAAGAAGAGATATTTTGAAAAATCGTAAGGCATTGTACAAAAATCAGTCCAAAGTGGACCAGGATGTTTATTTGTCGAGATTAATTTCGGTATATGAACCTGTTCGTCGTTGCAACAGTAAAACAAATCCCACGAAGCCAAGATCTAAGCAAAAATCAGTCATTTTTTTTCTACTGAGAAATGGTCATCCTAAGGGAGTATGCAAGAGATTTTTTTTTAAAAGCTTTAGGATTAAACAGAGGAAGAGTGGATATTCTTGTGAGAAGACTGGGCAATGGGGATGTGATAAGAGAAAATAGAGGCGGAGACCGAAAAAGCAAGAAATCAGCACATGTCAAGCAGAAGATTATTGAATTTATTAATAATTTTGAAACCGCTGAATCTCATTATAATAGGGCAAAATCCAAGCGTATATACCTAAGTTCAGAACTAAATGTAGCTAAACTAAGAAAAATGTACAATGAAACAGTAGAGATTTCATTCAGAGCTAAAAAATCTTTTTTCAGATCAGTGTTTATAAACAACTTTAACATCGGGTTTCAGTCTCCATCGTCAGATGTATGTACTTATTGCACATTATTAAAACATAAAATAAAAACTGCTACAGGTACGGAAAAAGTTAATTTAATGACTGAAAAAAAGAATCAATAGCAAAAGGGCTAGAGCATTTTATGACTTAATGAAGAAAGAAGAACAAGAAGGTTCTTTAACATTCTGTTTCGATCTGCAATAGGTTCAGCCACTCCCCCGCAGCTTTATATAGCTTTTATATATTTTGCATTGTAGCCAAAAATACTAAAAATCCTTTATTCTACAATTGGACTAAAATACAAGCAAATAGGGGCGCAACAGAAATCGGTTCTGTTTTAATTTTGCAACCGAAAATAACGCAAAATTAAAAAAGTTATTAAATAATATTACGTATAATATTAGAATGATATAATAAATAAATAAAGAATTTTATTAAGTAAAACACCATTTTAAATTAATTTCAACAAAATAAGATTAATCCACAATGGTTTGAATCAAAACTAGATTATTCCTTTAAAGCACATAACAAAACTTGATTATTCCAATCAGCCTAGTCAAAACTTGATTATTCCGTTTTAAAATTCTAGATTTATTCTATATCATATTACTGCAAAAATTTTGAAAGTCATACAAAGTAATCACTATTTTTGTTGTATATTATAATTCATCAACATTTTATATTAAACACATAACTGTGCTCTTAAAATTATATTTCCTTAAATTATACAAAAACACAAAAAGCGGAATAGTCAAGTTTTGAAAAGTACCTCCTCAAATCTGTTATTTAGTCATCTATATAAATATACATTCTTAGTTATAAACACAAACCTTGGTGCTGATTTCTAATCCAGTTTCTGCCAGACCTTTTACAAACTCTTCCTTGCTGACCTTTTTGTTTCCATTATCGTCCATCCTTCTGAATAATCTAAAGAATCAAATATATAAATGCATCAATAACTGTTTCTGTTACAGTCTGTGTGTGCGGTTGGTAAAATTGAGCTAACAGTACGTTTGCACTGAGAAACATCCAACACGTAATGTTTTGAAACAAATCGCATGAAATAAATCACACAACGTGTTTTGTTGATGGTGGCGTTCGCACTCACAAAAACTGTGTAAAATTTTCAACAGATATCAAGATTTGTTTTTAGCTGTGTTCGCATTGAATACAACATAAACATTCTACTTGTTTATCTATAGATTTGTCAACGTTAGCGTTCGCACTGTTGTTTTTTTATATTTCGCGATTTGTTCTAAATCGTGTTTTTCTGTTATCCAATTTAGTTGCAAAACATCACAAAACATTATCAACCCTAGCGGAGACGAATGATAACTTTATACAAAATATATATGTGGTATCATCATCATCATCATCATTACAGCCCTTCACAAGTCCACTGCTGAACATAGGCCTCCCCCAAGTTATGCCACAAAGCACGGTCCTGACTCAGGACTCCTGAGCCACCTGCATCCATCGACTACCTGCATGTCTTACCAGGTCGTCACTCCATCTAGTGGGGGGTCGCCCTACACTTCGCCTACAGGTACAAGACTGCCACTCGAGAACCTTTTTTCCCCAACGGTTGATGGTTCTACGAGCTACATGGCCGGCCCATTGCCACTTCAGCTTACTAATCCGTTGGGCTATGTCGGTCACTCTGGTTCTACTGAGGATATTCTCATTTCTAAGTTTATCACGCAGAGAAACTCCGAGTATAGCCCTCTCCATAGCTCGCTGAACGATTTTGAGCGTCCTCATACGGCCAGCAGTGAAGGACAACGTCTCGGTTCCGTAGGTCATCACTGGCAACACGCACTGGTTGTACAATTTAGTTTTCAGGTTTTGAGGTATACCTGACGAGAAGATGCGTCGTAATTTCCCGAACGCTGCCCAGCCGAGTTGAATTCGTCGATTGACCTCTCGGTCGAAGTTGGACTTACCCAGTCGGACTATTTGTCCCAGGTAAACGTACTCGTCAACAACTTCGAGCTTAGTGTTCCCAACAACTACCGGCATAGATGTGACACGGACATTAAACATGATATTTGTTTTGTCCATGTTCATCTTAAGACCTGTCCATTGAGAGGCACTATTGAGTGAAATTATTAAATGTGGTATATATCTCCACAAATTCCATCTTTATCATTAATCAGATTATCTGCAATTCTCTCGTGTGGCGGAAAAATTAAGTCTTTTTTTTTTGGGGTATTTTTTTCAGGTTGCCTGTCCCAGAGCTCGATATAAAAGAACATAATAAAATACAATACAAATTTCTAATTATTTGTTCAATTAAAATACATAACTTAAAAAAAGAAACGTAGAAAACTGTTTATCAAATAATTTAGTTTGTCACTGCCATCTTCATAATGTGTTTTAAGTGACAAGAAATTTTTGTTCCACATGTTCTACTAATTATATATATGAGAAAGAAATATGAAAGCCGTACCACCTTTCTCTCAAAATTTTACAAAGCTTACCATAGTTTAGGTTCTAATAATCTGTGTTTCCTTGGAGATGCACAGGGTTATTTTGTGATAACCGGTCAAATTTGCAGAGAAGGTTCAAAATAACTAATATAGGCCGTTAAAGACAAAACAATTTTAAAAAATCTCAAACTGTGTATCCTTTTTATCTCTTAAATTCAAAATGAGCAGTAATGCATTGTAAGTGATTTTACTGCACACGCAAACATTCGTTAATAATAAGCTTGTCGCCATCCCGGTGAGTCACTTAGGCATGTCAAAGTACTTCACAGGCTCAACCTAGTAGCCAGAATTCTACACCAGGAGCTCGCTCTGAAATATGGTCTCGTGGATCGGAAACTGCTTTATAAGTACTTACCGGAAGTCGTGCTCGAAAATGACCGTATTATTGTATTTATTTTATTTTACTGATATTTATGTATATTTATCTTTTTATTTTCATTTATATATATAGAACCCATCCAGATGAGAAAACTATATAGATACCCCACATAATAATAATAATAATATTTATTGAATCCAAACATACTTTACATAAAAACATAAACTTATAAAATTACATTGATAAGACGTAAATCTAACTCAATAGTATATTAAGGTATCTTTAGCAACCGTGCTAGGTCACAGACCTGTGTTACAGCTGCTAAGCCCTCCCCATTAAATACATACCAAATAGAAAAACAAAAACATAAAAAAATTTTTACCACAATCAAGAAATGAATAAAAGTTCTAATCCGACAAATGGCTTAATACTATTATAGCTAAATGTTTAGTTGTATGGTACAAGAGTAAGGCAGGGGAGATATTCTATAAATGTGTCACACACTTATATTAATATTCAAATGTTATAGTAAATGTTTACAAGAACTTATTCTATATTTCACATAAAAATAATTGAAACTTAGTGACTCAGTTAATATTTCATTTTCTTAAAACAATATAATATGCAAAATGTTCATTTAATATTGGAGATTTGTTAATCACAAACCAATATTACAAGTTTAGAAGTAAGTGTAAAATTAATACGTAGATGCCAGTGTGTAGTATACGAGTGTGAGTGTGTGTGTGTGAAAGAAGTAGTGAGTGTGTGTTGTTATTTTGCTTAACAGTTTGCATTTTTAACTATCTATATTTAATAATTTTACAGTTTCTTAACTTAGTTAAAAACTTAACTAACTTAACTTAGTTAGAGCTTGCTTATATTTGAAACATGTTAGTCGATCAGTAGGCAAAAACGTTGTTGCCCATAAATCGGATTCAATTTGGGATAGTTGCAAATAAAAGAAGAAGCTTTATTTACCGATATTTTCAAAAACTGCAATAACATTGTATCATTATTTATGAATTTAAGCTTAAGTTTCGAATTTGATTACTCTGAAAAATATAATATAATATGTATATAATGGCAACAATATTTATCATTTTATTAGTCTGAACCCAAAGGGTGTTATAAAGATTGTTATACTAAGCCTACAATGTTGGGTCTTGCAGGCTTAGTATTACAGTCCAGACGGAATCTGACAGCCATGCATCCGACATCGCCGCGGCGACTAGTATATGTATACTGGCCGCCTAATAGCAGGTGATTCTAAGGTACAGAATTACATTTCTCATACTTGCATAATACTAGAACACTACTAAAGGGAGACAAAATTTCTTTAGCAAAATTAGTTCTATCTATTAAGTCATTAGATGAGTTAAAAAAAGGAAAATAAAAAATCAATACTGATTACAATATTGAATTACCTATGTAAAAAAGGATAAAATAATATAGAAGATTTACAATTATGAATGTATTGATAATAACATGCACAATTAAAAACCCTAGTGTGTCTACAATACCCAAGATAGCAACATTTGAATCAAAAACAAGTTAAATAATAAATAAGCTCATGTACACAAGACCAGAGTAAAACCAGCAAATAATAATTTCATTTTGATAATAATTGGTTGTCTATTTATTTCCCTGATTTAAAATTAACCTTAAAATTTTGTCTCTATATTATATGCTTGCAGTTACGACTTAAACAGAATAAATTTTATTCAAAACTACAAAACTTATTAAAGAATACTTGATTACAAAACTCATAAAGTAATTAATGCTTTTACTCGTTTGGGAAAAGCCTCTGTCCTATGTAGAAAACAAGGAAGAAGTCCAAGCGGGCCATTTAAACAAAATGTTATTTAGAATATATTGTTTTTACAATTAAATATTAAAACATTTAGAAACAACATTAATCACCCCATTCCCAGGGGTTTAACAATCGTATATTTTATTGTAATAACCTTTTTTTTGAACAACTTTGCTTAGTTAAAAATTTTCAGTTTTTGATAGGCTGTATATTTTATGACTTGTTATAAAAGCATATACTTTGCCCACGAAGGAAAACTTATTCTTTGAAGTGGAATAACTGATATAACTAGCTTGTACTTGTTCCTAGTATTACAGAAATATACATTACTATTTTTAATAAAAACTATTGTTGTTTTTGTTTAAAATAAATTAACAAAAAAAAAAAAAAAAAAAAAAACAAAAATTAATATAAAAAACATACATTAAATTTTCGTAAAATTACTAAAACGCTATAGTTAATATATTTACTTCTAAAAAACTTTCTTGAAAAGACTCCTTTGGACTTAGGTTGTAAAGTGTTCTCATGGCTCTCTTCTGCAAAACAAAGTTATTTCAATGTGAAATGCATTAACCCCATTGCAAGATCCCTTATGTAATAAATATGGCGTATCAAAGGGTCACTATCTCTTTGTTATGGAATGCAAAATATAGTTGTTTCACATTTGCACCCAAGATAGAGAGAACTTGTAAATTTACTCCGTCCATGTCACAGACTCTTGCAGATATATTCACCCCAGCCTGAGCCTGGAAGTTATGCCAGCTATAACTGATTCAAGACCTGAAATCAAAAATTAAATATGTTTTACAACTGTTGAGCTTTTATAATCAACTTTAATTTCAACTGTTGTAATGAAATGAAAAATCATACAAAGTACTAATAATTACCTCTTTTATTAGTACAGTAAGTTGATTTGCAGTTAAAAATGCATTAGAGAAATAGTGGGCAATGGGCTGTTTCAGTCTTTCTAATACTAACAATCATAAATACTAATGCATATGACGCAATGACTGAAGATGTTCCTTGTGTACTATGATCCTAATACACTTCAATCAAATCTTCTTTTGGATTATACATCACATTTTTTTAAAGACATTTCATCAAATATCAATATAAATTGATTGTCTGATGGTTTTATAGTATTTAAAAAATCTGCCAGGCCTTAAAAACTAGTTGATTGATTTCAATAGTAGAGTACTCAGTTAACCCTTTAATAGAGCCTGAGTAGCCTGCAACAGGTGGGTGACCTTTTATAAAGCCACAAGGCTATGATTTTTATGTGTCATGTAGCTTTTTCTTTCAATTTCTTATTTGAACTTGTAATTACAGCGCAAACGTTGATGTTATTTTCTTAGATAATTTACTTGCTGTATTTTCATTAGTTAAACATTTAATACAATTTTGGCTTTTAAGGTTTTAATGTGATTATGCAATTGGTAGAATTTTCTTATGTATCACTTTCTTTAATTTTCTTTATTCGTCATGCAGCACAGTTTTTAGTCTCTATCCCGTATTCCACTGCGAATCACTGTCAAACACATTGCAAGCGCGTCCAGAACCTCGATTTCTTTCTTTTTTGTTGTAAATGTACAGTACATTCACCTCTTCATCACTTGAACGCATTATTGTTGAAAATTCTCTGTCTCGATTAAAAAGTGTCTACAAATACAAAACGTCAAACTTATCTTTCAACATAACAATATTTCTACAAATTTGTTTTCAAACATTTTGTTTCTGCAGATATATAGATATAATATAGTTATAATATGTAATGTACAATAAACTGTCAAACACATTTCACTAAAACATGTTCCTTGGCTATGCAAACGCTTTTTGATACATTGACAGAAAACAGTGTTTAAAACATGTTTTTTTGTGAAAATCGCGTCAGTGCAAACGCACGGTAAGGGCGACATTGAAATGTCAAGTCTTGAAATTGACATTGGCGCATGATCAAAATGGATTAGCAACCATAAAAAAGAAAATATGTATAACATATAATAAATATAACAACATGATATTATATGTTAACACAGACGCATCAGTTGATTTCATGTTTTAACATAAGCTAGTTTAGTTCTTCTTAAAATGAAGAAGTTTGGAAATCCCAAATCTAAAATGTCTTAACCAGCTACCAGCCTGTTCTCGACATTAGACTGTTTTACTAAAAGTAAAAAAATAATACAAAAAAGCTATTAGGTCATATATGTATAACAACATGATACTATATGTTAACGCAGACGCATCAGTTGATTTCATGTTTTATAACATGAGCCAATTTAGTTCCTCTAAAAATGAGTGTGGCATATGCTATGTAGAAGATCCCCAGCTGACCGATTTTGGCTAAACCCGTATTGACGGTCACTAAAGAGGTCATTTTGTTCTAAGTATACCATTAAGCGGGCGTTCAATATACGCTCCATAATCTTTCAGAGTATGGAGGTAATTGAAATTGGCGATAGTTGACAGTCGGCACGGCTATCTGTTTTAGGCACAGGCTGCACACCTGCATGTTGGCCAGCTTCCAAGATTTGGGCACTATTGCAGTTCTGAATGAGAGGCGGAACAAGCGCGTCAACACAGGACACAACTCAGGTGCACAGACCTTTAGAACTATAGCCGGTATACAATCAGGTCCACTAGCTTTGTAAATGCAGAGGCAAATACTGCATTCTGATGTGTCCTTGTCTGTGTCTTCCATTACGTGATGAAACATTTTTCAACAAATGAAGAATCATGATCTCAACATACATATCCACATCCAGGTAGCACTACCCCACTTAACTAATTGTTTTTAATTAACACAGATTATACTTATTAATCAACACAAACCTTCCTAGGCCTAATATTCCTGTGGCGCCCCTAGACAGGCACAGCAGACGTAGTTTTTCAATTGGGTCAGTAGCCTGGGATGCAGCTCGAGCACTGTTCTGCATCAGCTCCTCCTCTTGGAGGGAGATAGCAGACTGGGGTCGGTGCCATGCCACTGAAAGAAACAGATATATACATGTTACAGTTTATTGAGAAATTTACAAATAAAACCTTTTTAGTTACACTGCACCAAGTTTCATATTAAGTGAGAAAGTCATTAAGCCAATTGATAAGACAACATTCTATCTCAGCCTCTATATCTATGACAACATATTTTGTCTTAAATTTCTAGCTCACTCCTCTTCAAAGAATAAAATAACTTTTTGCTTTAAAGTGTAAGTAACTTTTACGATACAATTTTTATGATGTGATACACTGGCCTGCGAACATATATTTTTTTAATGTTATTTTAATTAAAAATACTAGTAATACTATTAACTTTATCCACTTCCTTCATTTTCCATTTTATTTGCTTTTTGTAAGGAGTGGTTCATGACTGTACTCAAACGGCATAATTGAACCCACAAAATTTTGAGTTCTATATCAGCTACTAGGCTACAGTCACTTTTTGGAAACATAAATGAAGATTTTGTGTAGAGATTGATTTATAGAGAAAGAATTTTAAAATGGAAAATAAGAGCCAAAGAGACAGATGATGGAAATATGGAATAGCAATTTAAGAAAATTGTAAGACAAGCGATTTGTTGCAACACCAAGTACTGTTTAACTTAGTACCACTTAGGTACAGTAAGCTTAAGTTCATGTTGATCTGAACACAAGCTGCATGTTTATTATTTGTATTGTAAATATTCCAGGCTCTGCGACCTAACTATTGCTAAGTTCATGGAATATGTCACTGACCAGATATTAGAAAAAATTATATAGATGCCACAAATGAAGAGCCATGTCAAAGAGAGAAAATGAAAGGTTTATAAACCCCACAGCTAATTGACGAACCATCAAAATCTAACAAATATTGTTGTAACCATATATGGATGAAAGCACAATGTTATAGATGGCAAAATCAGAGATCAAGTAAAAACAGCAATTTTGGCAATAGTTCTACTGTCATAAATGTTTTAGGCACTTTATCCACGGTCTATTTTGCTGTACGTCCCACCAAGGTCATGCAGAACTAGGGTTGCCACCTTTTTTGAAAAATTATAGTTTTTTTTCTTAAAAGAATGCAAAAATATAATACTTTTCAGAAATTCCGGAAAAAGAAAAGTACACATTTATTTTTAATCTTTATGTCTGTATGTACTCCAATGCAAATATGAATGTATTTTTCCATATATATTTGTTATTGCCTTTTGATTTGGCCATCAATAATCTAAACACCTTACCTTCTACCTCACTTTTAAAATAGAGTTTTAGAATAGAGTCTGAGCAATTTGGATTCATTTTAAAATAAATTAAAAATAAAAGAAAAAAGCATGTATACATTAAAATAAATTAATACATGCTTTTTCTTACTTCTTTAAATTTTACATTCATGATGGCTATATTATTTTCCTATAATATATAGTACAATTAATTGGAATTATTGTACTATACTATATATCATAGTACATATAATAATGATCGAACTTCACTTCAAGAAGTTCGTTTGATATCATATTTTCGTCGCTTCATTCTTCAGATACAAATAACTTAGGTAGATGTTTAGAGGTAGTTAAAATCAGAGACAAATGTTCTTAGGTTAATAAAACATTTATAGTATTAGCAAAAAACTTAAATTTGGGTAAACAAAAATATAATATTACTTCCAACTTTTTCTTAATGATTTAAACAAACAATTACATAATTTGTCTTATTATTTATTAGTATTAGCATTAATCGCACAGACGGATCGGGCAAATTCTCCTTCATCCACTACTGGGCGATTATAGAACCATGCGAATGTCATAGATGAGGTAGACCATCCAGCCGTTTTTCTTATGGTGTCAATACAAACTCCGGTGGAGGCTGCTGCTGAAGTAGAAGCGTGACGAGTGCTGTGGGCAGTGAATATATTTACGTCCACACTGCTCTTTGCTAAAGTCTGCTTTATCCATCGGCTTATAGTTTGAGACGATGCCTTTTTGTAAGGTTTATTATGAGTAATTAAGAGATTATCAGTCCCTTCAGGTCGCAGCCCAGATGTTACTATAAGATAGTCGTCTAGGGTTTTAGCTGGACATATGCTTGGGTTCTCCACGAAATAAGGCAGGAATAATACTGGTTGCTCTCGATTTGGTGCTGAAGTTTTTATTATGTCAGTTATAAAAATCTTAGCACCTGACGGGGATCTTATGATCTTATGATAGAAGTTCTTATTAGAGAGAGTTTGTATGCGATGAGAAGTACACAAAGCAAAAAGTATTGTTATTTTCTTTGTAAGTTTTGTTAGGCTTATATTGCTATTTGGATACCATTTAGATACATAATCAAGCACAGTTTTCGGATTCCATATAGTTGTGTATTGGGGAAGGGAAGGTTTTTGTCTATAAATACCCTTTAAAAACTGCTTAATTCGTTCGTCTGACCCTATATTATTCCCGAGGAGTAGTGATAGGGCAGAGCGATGACTATTAATAGATCCATATGATGTTCCATTTTTGTACAGATATACTAAAAATGATATTATGGATGAAAATGGAGCTTCATAAGTGTTTACTTGGTTATTTATGGGCCTTTCTCTACTAACAGGAAAATCATGGTCCAAGCATGTTTTTTTTTATTTTGGCTATATTAATGCATAGTTCTATTTATCAAAACACATAATATATAACCTGTTATTTAAGGAGCCAAGCTGAATCAATATTTAGAATCATAATCATTTCATAAATTCGGTCTAAAAGCCACTAAAAACAGTCCTCTGTTATGTCCTTATTCTGGATCGATTATGATTCGGTTCGGTTTTTATTAGTTGTATTTAAAAATGTGAAATCTTATTACTCTATGAACATAAAGAATATTGAATGCATGTGAACAAAATACAATTATAATTTTAGAGAATTTTTTTGTACTAAAAACTAGTGTTTGAATTTTGTCCGATACATTTTTGAACAGTCCTCTGTCACAATTTGAATATCGCGCCACAAAAATATTAAACACTATTGTGGCTACATTTCGCGTCAAACGGAACATTAACAGTGTGAAGTTTGCTCGGTTGCCATCCTAAACAAGTCGCCGCCATTTTTCCCAGTGACAACTCCGCGTCTGTGTGGGAGCCACGTCTCTGTAGTGTTGAGTGAACATTCCTCTGGTAAGTCTATTTTACGGTATTTTATGTGTTTTAATTATATTTATTTTACAAAAAAAATTGCTCAGTGTGATAATTTATAGCTGTTTCTGTGTTATGAATTAATATTTAAACTTATACGTGGTATGACATTTTTTACGTAAAAATAACAGTCCTCTGTGCAACAGTCCTCTGGAAATTTATAACACAGAGGACTGTTCAATGTGACAGAGGACTGTTTTATTTGACGTCCGTGTATTTTATTAATATTCTTTATAGTCTGCACTAACCTACTGCTTGCCGATAGCCTCTTTCTTTCTTACATTGGCCTGTCACGCTAATTCAGGTCTTTTGTTTTCTATTATGGATTTTGGAATATAAAATAATACGTACCTAGTAACTACCTGTTTTTAAACCCTTACGGTTTTTTTTTAATATTGAAAGTATGTTTTATTGTTTTAGTATTGCCGCAATGCCACCAAAGAAGAAACCTAAAACCAAAGAAGAAATAAAAGAGCAGAAACGAATTGCAGAAAGATTAAGATATCAACGGCTAAAGAATGACCCTGTAAAAAGAGAGCAATTGAAGGAAAAAGAACGACGAAACTACCAAAGAAAGAAGGAAAAAGGCATAAGAAAGTCAGTTAAATATATGAGTCGACGTGAACACAAAGCTGTGACTAAAGAATGGAGAAAGCACTGTGCTACATATCGCGCAAAAAAAAAGCTTTAAAAGAAATTACAAACAATTTTGTACGACATAATACGCCTGAATCCGAGGGTTCACCTTCTCCTCAAAGTTCTGTCGCTCCATCAATACTACCTATGACCACTCCACGAAGTGATGCAAGTAATGCGAGAAAGCGTAATGCTAGAAAGAAACGTGACAAAATTATAAAGGATAAAGACAAAAAGATCGAGTATTACAGAAAAAAATCCGAGAAGTATAGGAAGAGATTAGAACGTTTGGAAAAAGCTAAGACAAAGAAAAATGTAGACACACCTAACACTAAACTGACCGAAATGTGTGATTCGCCAGGAGCTCGCAGAGAAGTAGTCAAAAAGGCGCTATTCGGTGAAGTGTTGAATGCCCAGCTGAAAGAGAACTACGCTAATTTAAAAACCTGCAAAGAGAAACAAATATTCGGAAAAGTCGTGTCCGGTAAACTAATACACAAGTACAAGTTATGGCGAAGCAAAGATAGTTCCATATCTTATAAAACAATTCAGAAGTCAGCGCGTCAATCGGGTTTAGTACCCAAGCTTCGGACTCGCAAAGACAAAATTTCATCTGATTGCATAAACACTGTACGAACCTTCTACGAAAATGATGACAACAGCAGACTTGGCGCAGGAAAACGAGAATGCCTGACCAGAAAAGGGGTTAAAAAACAGAAAAGATATCTATCGGATAGCATTGGAAATTTATACAAGAAGTTTCAAGCTGAACATTTTAAAATAAGCTACCCAACGTTTTGTCGTCTACGTCCTTTCTGGGTCATAACACCAAATGTAAACGAACGTAACACGTGCCTCTGCATTAAGCACGCGAACATCGATCTGAAACTGTCAGCATTGCACAGAAGAAGAATTTTGACTTACAATAGTCACACTGCACTGCTTGAAAAGACATGTTGTAATCGCTATGACGAGCTATGTTTGTCACGAACCTGTCAACGCTGTATTGACAAAAATCCTGACTACAGGGAGTTTGATGACAGCAAGCCTATTGAATTTAAACAATGGATATCTGAGAAACAAACTTACAATGACCCCAAGACCAAGAATGCTCGAACAGTTACCAAATACCTAAAGAAAATGTTCACGGTTCGCCCTCGAGAACTAATAGAAGAGCTGCATGAGGATTTGGAAGCCTATTATCAACACAAGAGAAACATTACCCATCAATACAATGCTATCAAGAAATACAAACAAAACCTTACCGACGAAGACGCTATCATACATATGGATTTTTCAGAAAATTATTGTTCCAAATACGGTGAAGAAATACAAGCATTTCATTTTGGAGGGTCGAGACTTCAGCTAAGTCTTCATACTGTGGTAGTGTATACCAAAAAGTCTATCAAGTCTTATTGTACCGTTTCCAAAAATCTCACACATTCACCAGCTGCTATATGGGCACATTTGCGGCCAATCTTTAAAACTCTCCCACCTAACATAAAGAGCATCCACTTCGTCAGCGATGGACCCGTAACTCAATACAGAAACAAAACGATGTTTTACATCCTGGCATCAAGGCTTCAACAAGAGGTTTCAAATGTGAAGAAGTTTACCTGGAACTATTCAGAGAGTGGCCATGGCAAAGGGGCCCCTGATGGCATTGGAGCGACCTGCAAGAGAACCGCTGATGCCGTCGTCGCTACAGGAGGTGATATTGATAACTTGGAATCATTTGTAGAGGCCATTCAACAAAGATGTTCCGCAATTACCTTGTTCACAATCGACGATAAAGCCATCCAAGAATTGACAGACGGCCTTCAAAATGAAACAGTTAATTTAAAAGCTTTAATGGCACTCTTAAAATACATCAAGTTAAGGCTGAAATATTAAGAAGTCCTCTGGAATCAGCTCCAAAGGCCGCTAAACTCATAATGAAAAGTTTAAGTTGCACTTGTGAAGATGAGTGCCAGCATTTCAATTTAGGAGTGTTAGAGTACAAAAACAAGACAAAACTTAACGTAGATGATATTTACACAGACTCTGAAAGTGAAAACATGGACAACTCACAGAATTCCACAATGGAAACCAAAGACGACGGTGCACTGGCTGGACCTAGTTCAATCAACCAACAGAATTACACCATCGGTGATTACGTCTTGGTTAAATTTCTAGTAAGAAATACTGAATATTGTTATGCTGCAGTAATCAATAAGATAGACACGGAAGAAGGCGAACTAACAGTAACCTTCTTAAAAATTTGTGATGACAAAGGACACACATTCAGAGTCGATGAAAATGATGTTTCTGATGTGCCCTTTGACCAAGTAATAAAGAAGTTGCCAAACCCAGATGTTGCCCTAAAAGGGAAACGAATATTTTATTATTTTAATATACCTGTACCTGTTTTTGAGAAATAAGTCTGCATTGATAAGTAAACAAGACTGATTCTTAGTACCTAAGCTTAATTTTGATTATAATTATTTTAATTTGTTACTTAGAGAGCTAAGCTCGCAATTTGTTCCTGATTTATCATCAATACTTATAAGTATTTAAATTCTGTATGTGATTTAGTATTAAATAAAGAAGAGAATTTATTTGATTACATTTAATAATTAATATTGTATTTTTCTTCATATAAACATTGACATAAACTGTTCTCTGGGTGGAAAAAACAGTCCTCTGGGTGGCAAAACAGTCCTCTGTCGCATTTTTTTACAAAATTGCCTATAATTCGAAAAATAAGGGAAAATTACAATGGTTTCTTGTTTATATGTACTTATATTATAACTATCTATCGACTTAACATATAATATTTTTAATTTTCTAGAAAAATAGGGTTGGGACAACTGTCAATAGACAAGTTTCCAGTTAGTAGAGAAAGGCCCATCCACAAAATAAGACAAAAGCATCTAAAGCAACAGCAATGCCTCCTTCTTCACCGGCATTGCTCCATGGCTGGAGGTGGCAGTTCGACTCACACGACATCAGGTGTGCTGCGCTAAACAGACCGAGTCAGTGGCGCGGAGTTTGGGCAAGCAGGCACCGCGCCACGCCAGTGAAAACGGGTGGCGAGTGCTTGCGCGCACAAATTATATCGGGCGGCGCAGCGTGTAATAACACACGCATTGAGAAGCCGGCTTATGCTTGACGTACCTATGTGAATAATTTTTAATAATTGCTTGCTGGAGACACTGGATAAATTTTGTATCCAGCAAGGCAACAGCGAGCCTCCCCACTACTTTTCATGTCATAGGGATGAATAATGAATCCGGACATATATCAAATCAAAGCTGTCGTGAATCAAGAATGCTAGATTGTCTGGATACTGGCTGTAAAGCAGATAGGTCATTTTAGTAGCATGCGTTCCTTCTTCTGGTAGGTAGATGATTACCTTCCCCGCGACATGATAAATAAAAGATATTTTAAATAACTTAATCTATCATTATATCCAAACAAATAAATATGTGTGTTTGTAATGTCAAAAAACAGCTTTTTAGTAACTGCATATGAAAGTATTTACGGTAATTATAACAATAAAAACAATTTTTAAAATTTCTGTTTGTCTGTCTGTTCTTTCCCTGAACCCAAGCAATATTTTAAGAAATTTTATACCACCAACAATCAAAGCCACAAGACCTTCTGGGCATCTAAGTGAAAATGTTTATGCAAAATATACGCAACTTAATGAAAGAGCGTTCCTTTCATATTCGTATATACGATATTCACCACCGAATACATTGTAGTATATTATAACAATAACATTGAGTATAGACAAAAACAACGAAGAAATAGTTTTAGATCAGTCAAACAAAAAATACACTTCAGTCATCCTGGATAACTCACGTGTGGTTGTGGGCAATATCAATAAATACAAAATCGATAAAGATGAGTAATCCTTATTATTGATTTTGTACGAGTACGATGTAAGGAGCACTTTTGTCGCCGTTTGGCTGACTTGTGTGAAATATAGCAACAGACGCTTAAAAAAATTCTATAAGTTTTAAACATATAGTTTCGTGTATTTTTAATATTACGGACGATTAATTTTGTCTAGCTTTATACTTCATTGCTTGACTTAGGATCGACAGTTAACGGCGTATATATTTGGAAAATTATTTCAGTATTTAAATACTTACAGTTTGACGAAGTTTTTTCTTTACCGGTATACATTTCACTCATCTTATATTTTTCTCACACAAAATCACAAAATGCGAAAACTGCGAATTACGTTTTCGTTACGCCCATAGATTACTGCGTATATATATGTGTACAGTGTACACACTTGGTATACCTGAAAAGCTAACCAATTTTGTCACATTGAATTTAGCGTAGGTCTCTAGTTTCTGTATATTTTACTCTGCTCTATGGTCTCTAGACTGTCATCAAAAAGTCCCTTATAGTATGGAGTAGCTTGCTACATATTTATTTATCTATGGTAGGTACTGTAGAAGTACACTCCATAGTCCCTAGTTATAAATGAATTTAGTAACAAAAAAGTCCCCAAATGTCGCTAAATATAATTTTATTATAAAACGCGAAACAAAGAAAAATTATTTTTTTAAATGTGTCTTTTAGAAAATACATTATTGCTATACGCTTGGATACTAATTGTGATAACGCAGGTAACGGGAACCACAGGATTTTTATTATATGTTGTGTATATACAATATCATCATCATCATCATTACAGCCCTTCACAAGTCCACTGCTGAACATAGGCCTCCCCCAAGTAATGCCACAAAGCACGGTCCTGAGCCACCTGCATCCATCGACTTCCTGCATGTCTTACCAGGTCGTCACTCCATCTAGTGGGGGGTCGCCCTACACTACGCCTACCGGTACGAGGCTGCCACTCGAGAACCTTTCTTCCCCATCGGTTATCGGTTCTTCGAGCTATATGGCCGGCCCATTGCCACTTCAGCTTACTAATCCGTTGGGCTATGTCGGTCACTCTGTTTTTACTGCGGATATCCTCATTTCTGAGTATCACGCAGAGAAACTCCGAGCATAGCTCTCTCCATAGCTCCCTGAGCGACCTTGAGCGTCCTCATACGGCCAGCAGTGAAGGACCACGTCTCTGATCCGTAAGTCATCACTGGCAACATGCACTGGTTGTATACTTTAGTTTTCAGAGATTAAGGTATACCTGACGAGAAGATGTGTCGTAATTTCCCGAACGCTGCCCAGCCGAGTTGAATACGTCGATTGACCTCTCGGTCGAAGTTGGACTTACCTAGTCGGACTATTTGCCCCAGGTAAACGTACTCGTCAACAACTTCGAGCATAGTGCTCCCCACAACTACCGGCATAGGTGTGACATGGACATTGAACATAATCTTTGTTTTGTCCATGTTCATCTTAAGACCTATCCGTTGGGAGACACCATTGAGGTCATTGAGCATAGTGCTAAGGTCCTCCAGCGATTCTGCCATAAGGACTATATCGTCGGCAAATCGAAGGTGAGTGATGTACTCGCCATTGATGTTAATACCCTATCCTTTCCAGTCCAGTAGCTTGAAAACGTCTTCCAACGCAGTGGTGAAGAGTTTCGGGGATATAACGTCACCCTGTCTTACACCTCTCTGCAGTTGGATAGGTTTCGAACTCTGGTTCTGTACTCGGATAGCCATCGTAGCCCTACTGTACAAACACTTCAACACCTCGATATACCGACAGTCAACTTGGCACCCCTGAAGGGACTGAAGCACCGCCCAAATTTCGACGGAATCAAAGGCTTTCTCATAGTCCACATACGCCAGGCAAAGTGGCAGATTGTACTCTTTGGTCTTCTGTACAATCTGCCGCAGGGTATGTATGTGGTCTATGGTACTGAAGCCTTTTCGGAAACCGGCTTGTTTGGGAGGCTGGAAGTCGTCGAGTCTGCGTGCGAGACGATTCGTAATGACTCTCGAAAACAGCACGTAGACGCGGCTCAGAAGGGAAATCGGTCTGTAGTTCTTCAAGAGAGCGTTGTCGCCTTTCTTAAAGAACAAGACCACCGCACTTATGCTCCACGCCGCTGTAATTCCATCCTCGCCTGGGGCCCTGCCGTTTTTAAGGTGCTGGAGAGCCATTCTAATCTCGCTCAAACTGACGTCCGGGATATCATCGGAATAGTGTCGGGTAACACTTGCTCTTGTATCGTTACTCACACTTGCGTGTGGCTCCAACGATGATGTGTACAGCTGCCCATAGAACCTCTCAATCTCACTCAAAATCTCAGGTGTCCCGGAAACGATGCTGCCACACTCAGTCTTCAGCCTTGACAGTTGGCTCTTTCTGGCAGACAGATCTCTGGCCAAGACTTTTGAGCCCTGGTTCCGCTCGATCGCTTCTTTAATACGAGCAGTATTAAAGTTGCGTAAGTCTTGCCGAATGCATTTGAAGATCTGTCTGTTCAGTTGCCTGTATGCTGTCAAATCTGTTGACGATTGCAGCCTCATCTCCCGTCTAACAGCCATGAGATTAAGAGTGTGATCGGAGAGTTTTTGTGATCTTCTGCGGCGGGTCTTGCAGAACTTAGCTCCGACCGCATGGACAGTTTCCACGAGCTTGTCATTCATATCGTCCACTGCATTGCAATCTTCTAGGCACTGAAAGCGGTTACGTAACTCGAGCTGAAAAGTCTCAGGATTCTGGATTAGAGCACGTGGGGGGCATATATATACAATACATACATATATATATATATATATATATATATATATATATATACAATATATAAGTATAACAATGTTGTACATGCTAAGTGATTTCTTTGTAATAGGTTATGGAATGTAGTTGTGCTTTTTTAGTGTGTTTATTATTGTAAAAACGGCATCCAGAGAACATTTGTTTCGGTTCCTTTACGTTTCATAATTTCTTAAACGGATAGACTATACATTCCTTACGCCTAAAATAGTCAGATGGTATCAAAAATTGAAGTAAGTGCAAATGTCGCTAAAAGTCACCAAGAATAGTTTTTGTCGCTGAATATTGAATTTAACGCCCTAAATTAACAAATAACTCGTTAGATTTAGCGACAAAGTTGCTAAAGTGGCAACACTAACGCTAACGCACAGATATCTATAAACACTAATGATTAGCGTGGCCTCGAGTGAGAAAGGACGACAACGTAGTTTTAGGTTATACAATAATCTTTATGACTTTTAAACATATTTAGATAAAAATTTTAATTGTTCTAAGAACTGAACTGAACAAGATTCTCCAATCTTAACCTCACAAAACACTTTTTTCTCACTTAAACCAACTTGTAAACTCCTTAGAACGCTACGAACTGTCAAAGTTGTTTAGCAAAGTGTAGTTTGCTAATCAAAAAAACTGGCATGGAGAAAATGACAAACAATCACACAGCTCTGTCTCATTTCTAAGCAAGACGTATGCATAAACCTATCTTTTTCGTGTGCGAATGCGAAAGAAGGCGTCAATTTGTCCCGTAGACATAGAAACTTATTGACTGGACCCCACTGCGTTGAAATATTTCATCGGTTATTAAAAAAATATTTCATAAATTTTGACTGCATAGTATCACACTTTTGTAGGACACAGCAGTTTTTTATAAAAAAATGACAGTAAATTTTAACGCAGGAGGATAAAGAAAGCCTCCTGCCGGAGGCTCTACGCGGGGATCGTGCGATCCATGGCCCTTTACGGGGCCCCGGTGTGGGCGCGTGGTTTGGCGCGGCTTGCCGTCCACCACCTGAACGCCCCCCCAAAGGGTGGTTGCCGTGAAAATGGTTCGCGGCTACCGCACGATCTCCCGCGAGGCGGCGAGCCTCCTTGCCGGATTGCCGCCATGGGATCTGGAGGCGATAGTCCTCGCGCGCCTGCACGAATGGCGCGCGGAGGCACTATGCCGGGGGGAAACCCCGCTGCCGTGACAAGTTGTCGCGCAGCGGACAGACTTCCGGCACGATCTCATGGCGACATGGAGAGAGCGACTGTCGCAACCCCGTGCTGGGCACGTTACTATAGCGGCGATAAGACCACTCTTTGAGGAGTGGCTTGAGAGACGCCACGGCATCCTCACCTTCCGCCTGACGCAGGTCCTCACCGGACACGGTGTGTTCGGGAGGTTCCTGCACCGAATCGGGCGGAAGGAAACGCCCGGGTGCTCCCACTGCGAGGATGGACCGGAGGACACGGTGGAACACACCGTGGAGGTGTGCCCTGCTTGGGCGGAGCACCGTCGTGTCCTCGTAGCGGCGATAGGCGGCGGCGACCTCTCGCGTCCGGCCCTGGTCGAAGCCATGGTCCGGAGCGAGACGGAATGGGATGCCGTCACCACCTTCTGCGAAGCAATGATGCTAGCGAAGGATGTGGCGGAGCGGGAGAAGGAGAGAGCAGCAGCTTGCCTCCCCGGCCGCCGCGGGAGACGCCCCGGGCGTCGGGGGCTACGTCGTGGCCCCCGGCCACCGGAGGCGCGGGCCTGTGGACGGCGAACAATGGGTAGCTCGCCGGCCGTCCGTCTAACGACGACAGGCCGTGTCGACGGCGCGTTTTGTTCCACGCGCGCCTCAAAGAGCTGTCAGCAGCCTGAAGGGGCCCGAAAATGCCGACGCCTGCCGGGGCTGTGGGCTGTTCGAAAGAGATACCGCGGCTCCGGAACGTAAGGGCACTGAAGGAACACGTTAAAAAAAAAAGAGGGTAAAGAATCATGAACTGAATATGTGATTTAAAAGAATGTCAATTGTTCTGTTCCACCTTGTATAATGGACACAAATAGTGATGTAAAGAATGTGTTCGAGTGTGTTCTTAAGACTAATAAAAACTAATATTAATAAAATCAAAATATCAAAAATACTAATAATTTTATTGTTTATTTACAGCCTGCGATTCAATCAAATATGTCTGGCATTTTAATTGAATATTATCAAAATCAAACAAATTTACAATCAATATCTGCATTTGTTGCTCCTTTTATGGTAATTTTTTCCCAATTGAAACAGCAGTATAACCCTACTATTTTTTAAGAGTCATAAATTTTTTTAATAATAAAGAGTGGTTTTCAGGTCGAACCTCTTTAGTGGCATAGATTTAGCCCCTAGTACATCTTCTATGCTAGATTTAGTCACAAGCATATCACCAGATTTGCCACTAGTACGTCCGCTATGCCATATTTATCGGTAAGACTAGCTTCGGTTTCTATTATCATAATTATTCGCGAATTTGATCTCAAT